ACTCAGCACAGATGCAGCCACCTCAGGCCTCACTTTAAAAAAGGCATTTTGACTGCAAGGAACTTTGTTTTGTTCTTTATATTTTTGACCCACAGATGGTTGAGCACAGCTCCTGGGGACAGACAGGCCTGACAAAGAGCTGTGGTTGCTGCCATAACTATCCTGCCTACTGGTTCTGGGCAGGTCGTGAACCCATGGCTGGCTGGACCATACCCGTCTCACAGCAAGGCAATGTGGGATCTGGAAAGGGAAAATGCCCACAAGCAGGGGCAGACCCTCTCACCTGGCTGCATAGCCTGGCCAAGGTGTTGAGCTCCTTGCTTTCCAGGGAATCTTCTAGCATGACACTGTTCTGCCAGTGCTCTCTCACCCTGAGTGAAGAGAAAGTTCACAGTGTATTGAGAGCAGAGCATCTCCTGGGCTAAATAACAGATTCAGGAGGGAAAGAAGAAAGAGGTGGCCAGAGAGCCTGCCCGGACCACTTCCTACAGGGCATATGAGGAGGGCTCAGGGGAAGGACTGCGGCTCAACTGGAGCTCTTGGAGATGAAAGGGGACCCTTCAGAGGCTCAAGCCACTAGCCACTGATAGTGACAGAAAACCGTGCTCTGGTGGCAAGGCAGGCTGGCGTCCTCCCACAGGAGTCTTACTGCATCCTACTTGGGGCTCTGTGTCAAAGCTGGGGCCACAGACCTGCCCCACAGTCCCTCTGGCAATCACAATTCAATGTGTGTGCAAACAACTCAAACCTGCAGACTTCTCTAGGGAGCACGGGAGCCTGCCCGGACCACTTCCTACAGGGCATGTGAGGAGGGCTCAGGGGAAGGACTGCGGCTCAACTGGAGCTCTTGGGGATGAAAGGGGACCCTTCAGCAGCTCAAGCCACTAGCCACTGATAGTGGCAGAAAACCGTGCTCTGGTGGCAAGGCGGGCTGGCGTCCTCCCACAGGAGGCTTACTGCATCCTACTTGGGGGCTCTGTATCAAAGCTGGGGCCACAGACTTGCCCCACAGTCCCTCTGGCAATCACGATTCAATGTGTGTGCAAACAACTCAAACCTGCAGACTTCTCTAGGGAGCACGTGAACGTGACACCCACTAAAGCCCCGGCCTGAATTAAATCAGCACCTCTGAGCGTGTCCTGCGTCCCACATTCCACACAGTCATCAGTTACTTCCATCGAACATTCTGATGCTGTGTGTATCCAGGAGAGCCAAATGAAATCAAATCACCTGTAATCTCACTGCCCAGAAATCGCCTTTAAAATCAGGAGTATCTCCTTCCAGTTCATTTCCGTGTGTTTGTAAAAACTAATCACAATGTGTGCTGTGCACAGTTTGGATCTGTTCCTTCCACACTGACAGCATATACAGTGGGAAACTAGGGAGCTGAAAGAATGATGCTTTCTAGAGAGTTCTTAATGGTGTGGGCAAGGCTAACTAGCTAGTTAATTGTTTGCTAACTGTCCAGTGTTAATTATAAAAGTAAGAAGCAAGATTAGGGTCTGTCAATTTCAGAACTCTACAAAAGCAGGATTTAAAATACTGCAGCTATGGTGAATTCTGAACAAGGCCCCACTTGTGCTGTGATACTGTACCAGGATGGAAAAAGATGTTGCCAGGGAAGCTGGGTTAGGTTATGTGGGACCTCGCGCTACTTTTTTGAAACTTCTTGTAAGTCTAGAATTACTTTAAAATGAAAATTTTAAAAGGGCCGGGAAGATGGTTCATCAAGGTAAGGTGACTATCACAAAGCCTGAGGACCTGAGTTCAATCTCCAGGACCCACGTGGTAGGAGAGCGTTGACTCCCACAAGTTGCCCCTGACCTCCACACATGCACTGCTGTACAAGCATTCATGTATATGTACATACACACAATTTTTTTTTAAATTTAATATTTTCTTTTTAAGTAAAAAAAAAAAATAGCCAGACATGGTGGCACACACCTTTAATCCCAGCACTCAGGAGGCAGAGGTAGGAGGATCTCTGTGAGTTTGAGACCAGCCTGGTCTACATAGTGAGTTCTGGGCCAGCTGGGGATACAAGGAAACCCCATCTTAAAAAAATATAAGTGAAAAAAATATTGTTATTGAACTTGAATGGTATTTTTAAAAAACCCAATAAGATGGCTCAGCGGTTAAGAACACTGAGAAGAACTTCTTGCAGAAGACCCGGGTTCGAATCCCAGCACCCACAGGGCAGCTAACAACTGTCTGTAACTCCAGTCCCAGGGGATCTGACCGCCTCTTTTGACTTCCATGGGCATTGTCCTTAGGACATGGGTGCGCTTACCTACATGCAGGCAATACATGCATACACATAAAATAAAATAAATAAAAATTAAAGAAAAACAATAAAGTGTAGAACAACTTCAGGGATGAAAGCCGAAGCTAGCCGCTTCCACTGAGCATGGGGGTGGTGCCTGAGGAAGGAAGGGGAGGGGCTGGATCCTCAAGCTCTCAGACACCCCATATCTCACACCTACCTCAGCTGCCGGTGTTCCAGTAGCTTCTGGCCCTTGCTCAGGGCCTGCAGCAGGGTGGTGGAGACCTGCCTTTCCGCATCCCCCTCCTCAGCCTCATCCAGAGGCCCAGGCCCATCGTCTACCCACTGCTGCAGGCTCTCCAGGATCTGTTGTTGTTCCTCCTCCTCCTGCTGTGCCAGCTGCTCCTCCAACTTCCTCTCCAGCTCCTGGAGCTCCTGCACATGGACGGACTTGGGGTGAGTCCCACTGATGCCAGGTAGGCCGGAGTTACAGATGAAGTAACCAAGGAGAACCACACTCTCTTGGTAGCTGTGTCCTGATGGTCAGCATGCCCCTTTGTGGTCAAACATCCCTGAAGCTGCAATTAGGTTCCTGACAGATCAAAACAAGGTGCTGGGACCCTTTCCCAATTGTCAGGCATGTGCACTGTTGAAGGGTCCCCATCCCTAAAGGATCCTGACTAGTGTGAAATAATTTATATTGTGGTTTTGACTCCCCTCTCCCCATGGACTTTTCTAGAAGAGCGTGGAAAGAAATGTCCTAAAAAGGGAGCTGTCTTCTACCATAGTTTAGGAGGGAAAGGGTCACTTCATGCTATGAATATGCCACCTACCTCATAAATCTTCATAAAAACTTTAAAATCAATACTGAGAACCTACCAGGCGGTCCATCACATTGAGACTGCCCACTCCAATCTCTATTTGCAGTGCTTGGCTTTGCTTTGGTAAATAAATTTCTACTTAAACTTCTGTGCCTCTTGGCCGGATTCTTTCCTTCATGGAGACAAGAACCAGAGACTCCGGTAACAAAGTTTGCGAAAGACGAGCTGAGCGAGGATGGCATCTGTCCTCCCCAGCAATGCATGCAATGGAAGCCTGCTGTGTCCTGCTCTTGCCTGTCCCCGCTCCCGCTGTGTCCCACTGTGTCCAGCTATGCCACGTGACTGTGCCATGAACTCTCACACCTCCCTGCTCTTCCTCTTTTGTGGAAAGCCACACTCAGTGAGGAACCAAGCACTGTTTGGAGAGTTGACGAACCCAGGTTTACGTACGCTGATGGAACCAGAAGAGGGGGTACTCTGAAGTTCTGGGCCCTGAGCACGGTGTCTTAGAGCCTTTATAGATTTATTCCTATCATTTCTCGGCTGCTGACAGAGTACTGACAGAGTCTATTGATTACCAGCACAGATGCTTACGTGTCTCAAGACTGATAGAAATCAGAAGTTCCCTGAGGTAGATGTCTCACCCCAGCCCCACTGTTAACAGTTAGCCACATCCCTATCTTGGGCCTGATGGAGTGCCACAGCTAACACCAGACAACCCACTCCTCCTGCCAGCATGGCTCTCTGCTGTCCCTGCTCCACTGCATATAAAAGCTGCAGCAATTCCCTCCCCTTCTCACAGCTCACAGCCGTTAGCACCTCCATGAATAAACACTCTTCAGTCTGCATAAAGGTTTGGCTCTGAACTTTCTTCTTTATTCTTCTAAATCTAACAAAGACCATGGAGGGGACATTCCTTCTGTGGTTAAGCTGTCAAACATGTTTATAGCAATAGATGCCGAGGGCGAGGTTAGAATATCCATTGACGAGCAGGAGTTTGCAAGCCTCTAGCAATCAGGGTAACTGCAAATAGATGTTTCACTAATTAACTGCAGTCATCATTTCTCAAGATAGACCTAGTGGCCTTTGTGTTGTCTGAATTTCAATTCCTCCTTCAGTACAATTCTTAGCAAGTATGTATTATAAAAATCACTATAAGGTAACTACCACGTCCCAAAGTATAAAATTTGTTACAAAACAATGTTAGATGCACACAAAGGTAACATTAAATTCATGGGAATATGTTTTTCCTCATCCCCTCCACCTGCAGTATCTTCAACCTGTTCACTTAACCAGTTCTGAAGTCCTCAGTGGTAGACAGCTCAAGTCCCCTGGGACCTGAGGACACCCCCTCCTTCTCACCCCCTGCCATACGTCCCAATTCACAATCCCACACTGCTGCAATGCGAACGCCCTGGGGCAAGGGCAGGGCTGAGCCTCCTGCTCTCACCTGTGCCATGATGGGCAGCTGCCACTTACCACTGGCTTCCTGTGGAGCACCTCCTTCCATTTGCCATGGAGGAGAGCTGAGGTGGGATGCGGAAACCACAGCTAAGAACAACAAATGCTTTTGCAGCAAGTCAGCATTCAGGCTCTCTGTACAGATCTACATAAACGGTGCCCAGCTGACAATGGCTCTACTTACAACTTTCAACTTTACTGTGGGGTGACAGCAATGTACTCAATAGGCATCAAATTTAAATTCTGAATCCTGTTTCATTCTGAGGCTAGCCATGTGGGGTACACCACTGGGTAGTTATTCCCTCCAAATTGAAGCATTCCTTCTTGCAGGGATAAGGAAAGCTCACAAAAATCAGAATATTCAGGAAATTACAGGTCACAAGAAGCCCCTCCCCAAGGTATATAAGCAGTACACAATGGCCAGGAAAGGGGACCCTTCTGTGGAGCTGCCTACCAGATGTGCAAGGAGTTCCAGATGCAGCATTCAGGTAACCCCAACAAACTCACTGGTTCACCAAGCTAAACTTCAAGGGGACTGATTCTTTATCATCTGTGCCCTATCTGGAGTGAACAGACATTTGTTCCAAGTGAAGTATTTTCTTGGCATGCTGATCTTGGGGGAACAGAACAGTCTTAGTCATGTGACCACAAGAGAAACAATGGACATAACAGTGTGCTGTGCTGCTAGGCTGATGTCCAGAACGCTGATGCATTAAATGCACTTGTTACATATGAAATTTTCAGTTTATAATGGCTTTATGAAGATGTACAACTGTAAGTCAAGTTTAAACTCCTCCTAACAATGGTTTATAATATACACCCATTCCCCTCATTTCACAGATGAGGAAATCTAAGCAGAGAAATTTCAGAAAATTTGTTAGGTGATGTAGTTAGTAAGTGGGAGTTGCAAAGCTTGGGGTCAGGTATTACAGCATAAATGAAAAACTGGTCCCCAGGCCAGTGTATTTGAATACTTGATCCCAAGCTGGTGGTACTGTTTTGGAAAATTGGGCACAGTAAGAGGAAGAAGGTTGCTAGGAACTGGGTGGCTTGTAACTCTCCCCACTTCCTGTCCCAGCTCAGCTTCCTGGTCTATGGAGATGTTAGCAGGCAGGCCTCCCATTCCCCCTGCCACAGCTGCAAGCTGCTCACACTGCCGCACCTTCCTGGGCATGATAGATTATACCCTCTAACAGTGACCCAAGGGAAATCCTGTTTCTCTTAAGTAATGAGGAGTGACAGACACATCAGGTCTGCAGTCTCTGCAGGCTAAGCACTGGGCTGCACTGCATCTCATTAGCTAAACACAAAATACTGCATTCTTTTTACTAAGATTTATTTTATTTTTAATTATGTGTGTGTTGGATCCCCTGGAGTTGGAGTTACAGGTGGTTGTGAACTGTCCAACATGGGTACTGGGCTCTGAGCTTAGGCCCTCTGTAAGAGCAGCCAAGCCCTTAACTGCTGAGCTCTCTCCAGTCTCCCCCACCTCAAATTGCATTTTTAAGCCACCAGAATGAGAAGATCTTGGCACTGGCACATGCTTAGGCAATGGGGAGGGGGGTAGATGGGAGGCCCTGGGCCTTAGAGAATGTGCACACATTTAACCCATTTTTCTCCAGATTGGCCAGTGCAGTAAAGTGGAGGGCAGGTGGGAGTTAATCCTGAGAGTCCCTGGATGGGCCTCATCAGGATGGCTGCTTTCACCTAAACATGTACAAAATGTTTTGTCTTTCTGCTGAAGGACCCAAAGCCTCAGATGTAGCACAGAAAGCTTTCTGAGCCCCACACTCAGGGTTTGTCCCCAGGGCTGTGGGAAGCCTTGAGAGCCACTGAGCCGACTCCTAACATGCCAAGATGGTGATTAAGACCATAGTTCTCACTGTTGCAACTAGAATTGGAAACCACCAGCACCATCTCCAACAGCACACTCTGTCTACCTCCTAGCATAGTAGGCAGCCTGGGTCAGGGGAAATGCCAGCCTCAGCTCACTATGTGGGGGCAGAAGGTTACAACTATAGCCTGTTGCCACTGCAGGCAATAGAGCAGAGGGCTGACTTTTCTAGAATCAGCTTGATAAGCCTTGGTTGGAAACGAAAGTGAAAATGTGTCCTCAGCTGACCACCTGCTGACAGCAATGTTCCCCCACATGTTCCTACCTCTCTGCACAATGGAACCCAAGATTCCATTTTGGAGGGGCATTATCTTCTCTGCCTGTGCTCCTTGCTAGAGTTGATATGCTGAGCACACTTCCCAGGACAACAGCACCTTGTTTATGCTTTCTCCCCAGCAGAGAGCACAGAACTTGGCTCAGTGAAGAGGTGACAGTGGTGGTAATGATGGAGGGGGCAGGCATCCAACATTTAACAAATGCCTACACTATGCCAAGAGATGATGCAGAGTATTTTAATGTGAATTAATTTATTTAATCTTCACAAACTAACATAAGGTAGAAATTTATTATTACCTCATTTTATAGATAAGGTAACTGAGGTACAGAAAGTATGAGCAAATCTGAAATCACAGGGTTGGGCAGGACACAGTCAGTAGAATCTTAGTTGCTCTGGCTAGGTTCCATCTCTTAGGTCTCTAGAAAGCAGTCCGTGAGTACCAAACTTTGATGAACTGATGCACAGATGATGGATGGATAGATGGAGGGGGGAGGGAAGGAAGGATGGATGACAGAAATATATAGATGGAGAATTTCAGGTCTTTGGATAGGTATGAAGAACTCAGGCTGAATGAGGCATGGCCCCTGGATTCTGAAAACTCCCTCTGTTTCAAGGGAGACAGCTGTCCACATAGGTAAAATGAGCCCTCTGATCACAGAGATTCAGATGGGGGCTATGGGGTGCAGTCCTCCCCACAGAACCGGGGGCTTCAGAATGAAGATGTCATTCAAGCCTGCTTCAGAACACAGGTGTGTGCAGGACCTGACAAAAGCATGTGGGGCAGAGGCACTGGAAAGGGACAGATGTTGAATATGTCTCAAGTTCTTGGAACAGGGAGGAGGTTCAAGTTCAGGGCCCCAGAGAGATAGAGGTGGGAGGTGAGACTTTTTTTAAGGCATAGTTGAGGAATGGGATTATTCCTCAATTATCGTCATTTTCCAAAACTGTCCCTTCAGCCCACAGTCGTTGGGGGGAGGTGTAG